GCATAACTAAATCCTCATCACAACTCTCTCTGCATGGACTGAGGGGCTCTGATTGTGCTCTAGGCTTTACAGGAGTTTAGGCAGAACCAACACTACCTCTGCAAAATCAGAGTAAAATAGATGGCCTAGTCATGTAGCGAATAATTGTCATGTATTGTTTCTACAGAGAAACAGCTTAATTCCTATTTAGGGAGAGGGGGAAAGGAAAGTGCATTAAAAGTTCTGATTCAGTTTCCATTATATCCCTCAGAAAAGTATCAATTGATTTAAATAAAAACAGGACTATTTAATTTATATTTACATACGAATTTAATTGCTATTATAAACAAAAAATAATTTAGGTGGGGTATCTCGGCACAAGAATTGAGAAACAGATACATTTTATTTCAGCAGCAAATACTATTTTTACATGCTCAAGTTAAGGACCTACAGTGTGAAGCTGCTGAATAAATTCTCCAAGTAGCTGAACCCTAGCACCCATGTGATTTATTGAAGTAATGTATTTTTCTCTCTAATATGTGGGAATTCCCGTGTTAAAATGTCAAAATACGATCCATTCATCCTGCGTGGGTGCTGCTGGGAGGTGGAACATTTCTGTAAATGCTGCACGCGTTCTTGTCTGTGGACCAGCAACATGATATCCTAGCTTCAGGTTGATTTCATCATGGCTGAATACTGAAGTGAGACCAGGCTTCTATAGTGGGACATTCCAGAGGCTCCAGAACAAACGTTTGGATTTCCTCATTCCTGAAAATCTGCAGGCATGTTTTTACTACGACATTCTCTTTATATTCACCTGGTTATGCATATTGACTGGATCAGATCTAAGGTTTGAAAGATAATTAGTAAATAAGTAATTTCCAGTAAGAAAAACAAAATAAAACCATTTTCCACAACATTTTAGGAGTAATTTTTTTTAGAACTCCTGTTTTTACAGCAGTTTGCATTTCACACCAGAGTACAGCGTGCAGCACATCTGCCTACAGCAGGAGCAGCCCCTCTTGGCTTCACTGCTTCTTCCAGATTCCTCATCTCCAGAAAGCTGAGTGTCTGCAGTAGATTGTCAAAGCAATAGGCTTCTTCTGATGCTGTGGTCAGTCTCGACCAATTGACTCGTTACCCACTATTATTCTCCCTTTGCAAAGCCCAAATCTGAAAGCCCACAATTTTGTTTCTTCAGGTTTATGCTGTACTTACAAGCAACTTAAAGGAACTCATTCACGTAAACTCCAAAACCAAATCTCATAGAATAGATCAACTCAGTATCATATGAAGTACAGCACGGAATTTTGTAAAGTTTTTTACATCTCAGTGTGGGTAGTATTATTTCTAGGGCTATTACTAAAAAGAATAAGATTTCCGTCAACTGACCAGCTACATTTTAGTTTTTTGACAAGGCACTAAACATTGTGGATCCAATCACTGTGCTCTCTCTGTAACATTAGAGAGGTTTTTAATGGCTCTTATAGGATCAGAAACCACTCATCATAATTCTTCAAACAAGCATTTGATTTTTCCAGTAATTGGTTTCCACTGGAAAAATCTTTAGAGTTCATGTTAAAAATATTTGAATGACAGCTTTTATTAATAGAAAAATATATATTTACAGTCAACACTGTTCTCTTAGATTTGCAGCTCTTCCTATTTCTTGAGCTCAACTGAAAGTGCGACATTGCTAAAAAAAAGTCTCAAGATCTGTGCACATATTCAAGTAAGTTATAACATGCACAGCCAGGGGTTTTGATCCTGTCATGCACAGGATCCCAGTTACAAACAGAGCGGGTTTTTTTCCTTTTGCTTAGCAATTATGCTGTAGCATTCTTAGGATTTGTTTACAATCAGTTTAATGCATACATTCTTGGATATTTATGTGGCACAATCTGTTGCCGGGATGGAGAACCACCACAAACAGTTACAATCATCAGTTATGGGCATATCTTCGAAGTCAGCCTCAAGCTCCCCAAGGAATAGCTCAGGCCAGATTGTGTTAACTACTTGGACCATTCTTTCTTTTTTAAAGAAAATAAAACACACACTACAAATTGCTAAAGTTTACCCAGTGCTGCACAAGAAAGCGATTGGTAGTGAACATCTATCCACGCTTGATTATACTGCAGAGCTAAAATGAGTATTGGTTCATCACAAAAGATACAAACTGAAATTAGATAGCTAGAGATACAAAGGCTTCGGACCAGCTGCATTAAATATGTATGGTTGCAAAACATTCAAAATTCAACTTTGCATGTGTGTGTTGACATGAAAGTGACACTGAGAACGTGTGTCCATAAACACAGAAACACCTACCGACTTCAGGAATGAGCCCATGACCATGGCAAATGGCCCAGAAATTGCTCGTACAGCCTTGCGAGTTAGGTGAGAAGTTATGTGCACACACACGCTACAAAACAAACACCAAACCAGACCACAGAGAACAAGAAGCCCTACTTGTAGCTCAACACATTGTGACTAATAGCTAGCAGATAATTTGCAAGTGACTTGTCATGCTCAGTGTACTTCAGCTATGAGAGCATTGCCCTCCTGTGTCCAGACAAAGCAGGGCTGCATTGAACGTGTGTGTGTGACTCTTTGTAAAGGTTCCTCTATGAGCTGCTCAGCAGTAGTGTGGAAACTTTCTTTCCTGATGTAGTGGAAGTACTTCAACTACATACATTGCACACGGGCTTTGAATGCACTGTCCTTTTTTTCTGCATCAATGCTAGCCTTTTTGCCAAAAAGAGAAAGAAAAAATCTATCACGTTAAAATATATTATCCTTATCCTTGCCTGATCCTTCACTGATGCAGGTGAATCAAACACAAGAATAATAATCAGAAGTTTAAAAAAAAATCAAACATTTTTAAAAAGGTCACAAAGACAGTCTATATACTACGGCACAATCCATGTAGGCTTCCACACGCTATTCAGCTTAGCTCTGGTAGATGCCAGAAAAGAATTACACAGACATTTCAACCCCTCCAAATGTACGATGTGGATCCAGAGCTAGTTTTGTTGACTTTAAGCCTGCAGGCCTGTTTGTTCAGTTTCCATGCATCTGGTCCAAGCATGCATATGCTATATAAAGTGGCTATTTGTTTCAAGGCTGAAGTGAATGAATTCCTCACAGTTTTAACAATTAAAATGAAACATCAATCCATAAAAAGAACACATGGAATTTATGTGCATGGAATTTAAGGAAAGTAAAGGAAGGGGCTGCAGATCTAGCGTCAGGTAAAGGCTGCTGTGTAAAGTGAACACTGTAATGTACAGCTTTAAAAAAATACATACAAGAATTGCACATAGATCCATAGGAGAGAAGCACAGGCTCACAACTAGGGCTGTCTGCTTTCCATCACCTGGGTCAGAATATTCAGTATCGCATTTTCCCCTGCATCCAGATCAGTTCTTCAGAGTGATTCAGGAAACAATTGAGAGCCTAGCAGTACTGAGCAAAGATACGGCCTGTACAACTGCAGAGGTTCCATAGGAAACGGCTGTTAGGTCAAGGAAGGAAGTCACCAGCGGCCTCTAAAAGTGGAAAGGTCCTTCAGGTTGAGTTTTAAAAATTTCTCTCTTTAATCCTCATTAATTCCTGCTCTAGTCCAAAACTCTGTCTGCAATTCTCTTTGAGCTATTCTGTCAACATTCCATTTTTAGGAGTTGTCTGTGGCAACTTTAGAAAACACAAGTTACAACAGACAAGAGATATGCAGCCAAACACCGCTGTGGGAAAAATGGATCACAATACTGTTAGTTGTGGCTGCCAAACCTAACAGCTTCCTCAATAATTAAACAACAGTGTTTTTGCCCCCTTGTTTTTACCCTTCAGAGAACTGTGTCTGCAGTAAGTGTCTCCATGTGGCCTGTTAGCTACACACAGACAAGCTCTAAACATTTCTGTCTCCTGCCAACATACCAGCAGAGCCAATTTCAGTCCCACTTTGCAATATGGCACAAGTGACAAAAGCAAAAGAAAATAAAATGGAAGAGGTGGCTGTTATTTTCATCCCCGATTTATAGCAGTGATTGTCAGAAAAGGTTATGTATGTCCTATCCATTTCAAGTCAGGCTTTAGTGCCTTTTGTGATGGAAGGGGATTTTCAAATGCCCACCATGTTTTGTATCGTTCTTGTATAAACGTGGTTATAGCTACAGCACATCAAAAGTCCAGACTGGTGAATGTCATGTAGGAAATGGGATAGACAAAGTGTGCATATTCTGGTTTTTAATGCAGAGCTGTTAAGCTAAGGGTAATGGTCTGATTTAGGCAGCATTGCTGAAATCACAGATCCGTGATTACAAAGGATATGGGTTGGCAGTGAGTCAGAGGCAGAGGAGGGAAAAGAACTGAACACAGATGCTTACTGCCCACTGACACTTGCCACAGTCAGCAGGATAATCACATCTGAGGAGAAAAAAAAAAGATGCAAAGTGTAAGAGAAAGATCAGAATCTGTTTGGTTGAGACCAGAGGAAAGAAGAGCCCAGCCCGCTTGTGGGAGACTGATTGAGCTGAGAGAAAATTTTGCATGGTATGTGGGATGGAAGCAAATGAGCATTTTGTGGCACGGTGAAACATTCATCTCATTTACAACTAATCCAACTCTGCTTATGGTCACTGCTATTCACTGACCAATGCTACATAGGGAGATGACAGAAACTACCCAGAAGAGGAGGGCAATTTGTCTACTGTGGCGTTAGAAATAGTGGTATCAAGGTTTGCTCTCCTTTTCAGCCAGATACTAATCAAGTTACATACTGTCTGATCCAAATGCAGTCACGTATATAGAATCAATCCCTAACAGGCCTGGCAAAAAAGTAAAGTGTCTGTCATATTTGGTACAGGATGCAATTTCTCCAGTTAGAACCTATTTGCTCAGAGTTGCTGGCTTTGATATCTAGGCTATTTAACACTTGTACAAAGTGTGAGCCCTAGGGCAGGCTGGAGTGAGGACTGGGGTGAAAGTGGGGGGTGTGCTTCATGAAAAGCAACAGGCTCTACAAGCTAGTGCTGCTGCATGATTCTCACAATGCGATGAAGTGAGTCTATAGTGGCGAAAGCCAGATACTGACAACAAAGCCAGTCTTCCAGAATAACTCCACAGTCCCTGTCCAAGGACTTCTCTGCAAACTTGATCATCAGCAGCGTCCTTTTGATATCCAGCCAGTTCTGAAGTACAGCATCTCTCCGGGCAGGGTTGGAAGATGTACTTAGAGCATGGAACAAGTCCTCACGTGGACCCCAAAGCAGACACTGCAGGATTCCCTTGGCTTCTGATATCAGGATCCTCTCTGAAGGGTTGGGATTCAGCAGGCAGCTGGCAAGTTGCTGAAGCCCTTGAGAGTAGAGGGAACGGCAAGGGATCTTGGGGAGATCGGCACGAGTATACTCCTTCTCCTTCAGCTCTGGATTCTCATCAAAGGGATTGGGTAAGTGCAGCATTTCATAGATGAGGATGCCAGTCTGGAATTCATCACACTTTTTGTATTGTGTTGCAGTGATGATTTCTGGAGCCAGCCGGGACTGATCCCGTAAAACTTCAGGATCCACCATATGACTCTTCTGCTTGGCCTGGGAGAAATTGCTCACTATTAATCTGGCTGGGCAAGCAGTGTTGGTACTAGGTTCCATGGACTCAGAGCTCAGAGGGCTGCCACCCAGTCTGGAATGAACCAACAGCAGGTTCTCTAAGCGCAGATCACAGTGTGTGATATGATAGGGTTTCAGGTGCTCCAGGCCCAAACACAGCTGTAAAAGGAGCAGACAAACCTGCCTCTCATATAAATCTGGGCTTTTGGCATGGCGGGCTGCAGATTCTCGCACAAAGTCAGCAACTGTTAAGTATGGGACCTCCCGCGTGATGACCACAACACGGCTGCGTGGCTTGCTGATGGTCCCCTGGTTGCTTGAGCTGTCTTTCTGTGAAGCCTCTGTATTGGAAGGAGCGTCTCTGTTCTTCTGCTCAGGCTCTTTCTCCTCTTCTTCCCGCTCTTCTTCTTCTTCTACCTCTGGTGCATCGGCATCCTCCCACGGAAGGAGACGGACTGGCACTTCCGCAAGGAAATGGCCACAGTCCTGTTGAATGTTAAAGTTGATAGCCAGACTCTGCCGGATAGATAAGCTATGATAATACTGCTGGGATTCCTTAGCTTTGCTCTTACAAATCTGGGGGGAGAAAAGAAACAGAACAGACATAACGCTTAAATTTGTATATTTGATACTTTTTTTTTTAATATGTACCTTGTTGATGAGTATCCACAGTCTGATCCTGAACACAAGCTCCGAAAAATTGTTTTACTGAACTGACCTTGGGAGACTATCTTAAGGCTCTTGAAGAGTTTCCAGTAAGTAACTGCAGACCAATGTATACAGACAGCTCTCCCTGTGCATGCAGTATTCGATGGAGAACACAGTTCAGGCAGGTTGCACTTTTAGTCAGAATAGCAGCTGATATATGAGAAATGCACAGTGATGCTTACTTCGCAGTTACTTATTTATCCATGTATTTTTATTTGATGTTCTTCTCTCAGCTTTGCGTGGAGCTCGAACAAGAGAAAAATAATCAATAGCAATGGGAGATCCAAAGAAACATGCACAGAATATTTGAGGATATGATCAAACAACGGCACATGACTGAGTTAGCATGGCATAACAAGTGATCACGTCACCTGAGTTACTTGACTGGCTGCATGCTCCTTGCCCACTGTAATGGAAAACTGCAATCTCTTAGCTGCAGCTGTGTAGAGCTAACACATCATGTCTGCAGTGAGGGGCTGTATGCGCACATGGCAGGGGCTGTCAGCAAGCTGACATCACCTGTACATCACACAGGTGATGGATGGAAACGCATTAGAACATGGTACCTTAGGTGTTTTCAATCGTTTGTCAAGATCCTAAGTGTATGTTTTTATTTTGCCATATATAGCTGTAATTTCTGCCCAGAAATCTCTTGTTGATATGTACATTATCACCATAATAACTATCCTTATCATTTCCACTGCCGTAACAACTGGCAGCTCCAACCTCCTTAAAACAGCCACTGGACAACCTCTATCCTCTGTTAGGACCTCTGTTCTAAGGCTGATTAAAATTACAGCCCTACAAAGACTCAGGCACATTGACCTGTGCATGTTAACCTAGTCCTACTGACATCAGTGAGATTGTTCAAAGTCTGTAAGGTTAAGTGTATGCTTTAATCTTTATAAGGTTAGAACGTGAGTATTCAGTTGGTATAATGCACCAACAGGTCTTAGCAGCAAAGAGAAAAGAGGAAGACATCCCTCTGCAAATGAAGTAACAGCTTCCCTTAGCTCATCTCTGAAAGCCAAGGAAAGCCAAATAACTGAGGTTACTAAAGTCAGCACTACACAGTCACAGCAGCCAAAGCACCCAGATCTCATACTAGCCTTAAATATAAGCATAAGGTGATTTTTCTCCCTGTTGTTGATCAGAAAAGTCGTTGTCAGATAATTGTATGAAAGTAGACACAAGTAGGAACAATTTTGATTGTCATCCTGTCTTTGATACCGTGCATATGTCTATACTTCACAAGCATTTAAATTTCCCTATGTATTATGTACACCATAGCTTAAACTGCCTGTTCATAACTGCCATGCACAAAACCCCCACAACTGAAAAATGCATTTTCTAGTCTATTTTATTTAAGAGATGAAAGTAATCTTTTTCTGGAAACGTTGATAGTTACCCTCTTCGTACAGTGGCTATTGCCAATTTACATTTTCAAATCTATTTTATACTGTCAGAAGTAAAGTGAGTTATCAATAGGAAATCCCCCTCCTCTCAAGAGTTTAAAAGTTTAAACAAATACAGTAAAAATACAGGATTAAGCTTTGAATTATACGTGAAAAAGAAACATCGGCTGATTGTCTTGGAGACTGACGTCCCCAGATTTATTAAATCCTTAATACTGCACAGAAGACAGAAGTAGAAAATGTGTATACCCTACCAGCATGTACCAGATCTGACTGGGAGAACAGCTGGTAGGAAAAACAAGAACAGTTTTGTGTTCATTGCCCTTCATGTCTGTGGCCTTTCTCTCGTACAGCCAGCCATGGGGATAATCAATTCCAACTGCAGAAAAGGTTCAGTGTCATAACCCAGCCTTTAGTTTTTGAAAATACTTAACTGACTTAATCTAAAATATAAGCTCATTCTGAAAGAGTTTAATTTTAAGGTCAAGCTTACTTGCTGAAAAGAAAAGTGCAAAAAAGCACTTGCCCTTAGCTATTGTACTGTATTTTTTATTACCCACAGAGGGTTTCTAAGGCCACCTGCCAGCTAAAAGTGATATTCTGTTAGGAATATATAATCCACAGAGTATTTGCTCTTAAAACAATTAATACTACTCAATTTGGTGAATACAAGGCCTTTTTAAAGTTTTATGAAGAGGATTTCTCTTTGCCTATAGAAAAAGAAAGGCGAAGGAATCGAGACTTATCCCTAGTTTCCAATGTTAGTCCTAGGCAGTCTCTCTTTCCTACTTACTTCAGAGAAGAGCTCTCAAATTTATTACTGGAATTTCAGTTAAAATAATAGAAGATTGGCTTTGCACCTCTCAATCAGTCTTGGTTCACTCATTTTAGAAAATACTGCCATCCTAGAATTGTGACAGTACAAAAGTCATAGCCCTCTGTGGATATGGTAATGCTTCCTTCTGATTTGGAAATGACTGGCCATACACATCGGCACCAAAAGGCATTTGGCTATTAGGGCAGAGGACACCGCCTTTGCACCCATTCCCTTTCCCTCTGAGCCAGCAGGACCAGCCTGCAAGGCAAAGCTGTTCTGTATGTTGCCAGCTGCATCATTCCTAAGAAATGCCTTTCCAACCTAATAAAATGTCCTCAGAAGAGTTGTTCTCTGTTTTCTCCTTTCTCTTTTTTCCTGCTG